TAAAAAGAAGGTCTTTTCACCCTATGATAATTACTAAGAGACTAATTCAATTCACACAATCACAACATTTCATTAACTCCATACTATTAACATATATTTTTGTTAGGTGAATACTTCTATTGACTGTAAGATTATTGTACTAGTTGCATGTATTTCTGTAAGGGTTAACTATAACTATGTGTTCATTGTAATGTTTTATTCGTCATATAAATTGTGAATTGATGCATTAACTAAAAAATTCCACTTAATGATAATGTGATGTTATATTGGTTAATCCGGTTAACCAAACCAATTAAACTTTAGTTCGGTTAATTTGGTTGTTGCATTAGTTTGGACGATTTGGTTATGATATTGTATTCCATGGTTAATAGAATTTTGGCTTGTTTGGTTTGGTAATTACCATGCTAACCATTTGAACACCCATAATTATCCATGTGGGGGATTGTTGGGATTTTGAATGTTATGAATAGGAATGAAAAGAGAAGGAGCCAATAGAAACTTTGGAAATACTATGCCTATGTTTGGCCTGGCTTTTAGAAGTGCTTTTCGGCTTCAAAAGCTAAAGCAGGGCCAAACACCTCTAAAAGCTCGGCTTTTGAAAAGCCGAAAAGCGCTTTTATATAACATAAAAGCAGAAGCTCCGATTTGGAACTTCTGCGAAAAGCTGTTTTGAAAATACAAAATTATCCTTACCATATTTTAATTTTATTTCAGAAAATATAGTTTTCCTTCATTTATATCATTTTAAAAATAAAAAATAAATTATAAAATTATATTATTTAATATAAAAAGTGAAGGAGCCAATAGAAACTTTGGAAAGACTATATTGGTGAGACGTGGGAAGAAGGCCTAAGATTCGATCGATTTGTTTTGATTAACAATTTTGGTAATCAATCCAGTTTGTTTGTGTAACCAGCCATAACCAAACCAAACAAATGTGGCAGTTGAAATGAACCACTAGTTCAACTATCATGGCACAAACTGATGCAATGGTTGGACATTTTTTAACGGAGCAACGATTTAAACTTAACCACCAAAACTTCTTCATTTTCTATAAATAGCACCAACCCTCTCTTGTTTTATGTAGATGATGTGAGAAATTTTCAACAAATTTTAGAGGTATCGGAACTCTGCCAAAATCAAAACTTGTTTTTTGTATTCTTTCCAAAACAAAATTGTGTTAGTGATTCTTGCCGATTCATTAAGTTTGTTGTTTTCCAAGTTTAAGGTATCACAACACAGGAAAAAGTATGTCATTTTAATCTTGTGAGGAATTCATCGATAATTTTGAATACTAGAGAGAAATAAAATTCCTTAAGAAATTGCATGTACTTCATGATCTTATATATTTATTTGTTGGAAGAAATGTAGTATATGTGACAATTTCCATACACATAAAACATATCACTAAACCTCAAGAACCCCGTAAAGTTGCAGCATATAAATTCAACCGAAAGTTATTTCACTAGAGCTTTAAATACAACACCCTTGATCAAATTAAGCCATCGTAAATCGTAATGACACATATCAAGCCTAACAGAAATGCTGTGAAGGCTACGTTCAAACAGAAACTTCACTTTCAATCTTAGACAGTTAAACTAAATTGACAATAGTGAAAGCTAAGACATCACAAATAGTAATTAAAGCAAAGAATTCACTCTGAATTTTGCTCCTAAATAATTAACAAATCATGAACTGAAACATATCTTCCCCGAGATCAGAACATCATGAACCAAATCAGTCTCCATAGAAGTCTTAGCTAAACTGTACTCTAGGAACAACAAGAGAGTGTTTGACATGCAAATACTAGTGTATAATATGCATACTGAGACTGCAAGAGCACAGCCAAAAAATTTCAACCCTTATTCTAGTTCACATAAACTACTTTCAACTCAGCCATGCCCATGATGACTATCACTTTCAACCCAGTTCGAAATTGAACCCCCCTCCCCACTCCATAATTAAAGCCTCTCATTTTGGCATCCCCACCTAAAGTGCATCCTACTCTAACATTGGCACACGTACAGATTTGATCCCAAAATCATAACAGACCCAAGAACCAACAAGCAAATCACTCGCCAAACGCAAGCTTAGCAATAATAAGAGGTTCAGTGACAGGAAAGGGAGCGGCTTACTAAGTCAGGGTCTACTCTCGCGCTCTTAGGTACTTCTGTCCTGCTGTAATAGACATGGTCGAGATGCTTTGCAAGTCACAACCACATTAATATAGAGAGCCTTCTGTCTCAACTGAAGAGACAAAACAAAACCTGGTCGGATTCATAAGTAAGCAACAAATTATGACAACATTTCAGAAAATTTAATCAGTGATCATTGGATTGAAGCAGTAAGGAGAAAAGGCAGTGTACAAGTTCAGGAATAACATCATCACAGTTTCATAAGAACAAATCATTGGATGTCATTAACCCAGTAAACTTTCAGCATATAAATTTTGCTTCAAGTTAATCACCGGATCATTAAAAATAACACCCTTGATCAAATTATTTGGTTCTTAACTCCAGAGCAACGATCAACATGCTTAACTCAAGGTCTGGTATGTGCAGAAATGGTCCCTCACATCCATAAAAAATAGTTTCGACTTGAAAAAACATATTTTTTCACTCGGCAATCGGGATACCTTGATAAAGTGTTTCTTCTAAAGCAAGTGCACCCTGCAAATTCTGGAAGCAAAATAGTTTCATAATAAGAATACATCATAACAGAAGAGCCCAAAAACAGTGCACAGCGCCTCTACCTGGAAACTCGGAGAATGTGGCTGAAACTACATTCATCTACATAACCTACGAAGATCAATCTCAGCTTTCGGATTGATATTGAACATAAAAATATTACGAGTAAAGACAGGTGACCAAGGTTGCTTCAGTCAGATAAAAGAAGGGGACAAGGAACAAAAGAATACTCATTCAGATGCAATGTTTCCATCTACATAGAAAAAATCAAGTGGCATAGTTAGACCCAAGGAGAACCACCATTCATTCAAGACGCAAACTCTAGAAACGAGGAGATGAAAATTACCATTTCCATTGTACATCCAACTGAATTTATCACACAAGGGAAGAGTCCAACTGCCATGAAAAACATACATAATACGGTCAAAAGGAAACCAACATCAAACAGATTCAGCTGCCATGATTTAGTGTGAAACAAAACTCATTTGCCTGACTTTGAATATAAGCATTCTAACAGAACATAAACTACTAACCTCAAATCATAAACTGCTATAACTTCTACTACAGCAGAAACTATTAGCTAGGTCATATCGCCATTATATATAAAAAAAAACTATTAGCTAGGTCATGATTCACAATTCAACTCTATATCATCGGCCCTTAAATTAGAATCACATTTCCATACTAGAAAGAGATGACCTGAGTTACTTGACAGCCTCTTGAACTCCTCTTAATGAAGGATGATGCTCCTCCAAACCATCACCGAAAATTAAATTGATTATATGTTTTCCGTATGAAATAGAAGTTTCTCTCTTAAATACTCTACTGCCACATCATGTGCTGAAGGATATTATCCACCGCCAGTATCCCAATGACGTAAGCAAATTTCAAAACTTTCTCCTATATCCTTACCCTTATGAGAAGAAACTGTGCATACATTCAAGATCTTCAATTTCCAGTCAACATTTTATGCAACGGCCAGTAAGACTCGCGTAGTCGATGTTTTGTAATGATGTCCAAGTGTCTGCAGTTAAGGAAACCCTTCCATCAAATTTCCTACGGGATTGTCTCAGTAGATCCTTTTTCATATAAAAATAAACTTAAAATAATCCCTCGTAATAGTAGTTCTAGAAGGTATCCGAAACCTAGGACATGCAGTTGCCATCAAATGCCTAAGCCCTTCACTGCTAACTACTCTAAAAGGCTCCTAATTGATAATAATCATGCACACTACAACCTTTCTAATTTTCTCTTAAAACTCCTACCAAGTTTTCCATCCCCATCTTGACCAGGTTTCAGATTCAGCAACTGCTATTTCTGATAAAATAGTTGTTCATTGCAGGAAAGCCTATGAAATCTTAAAGCACTGGTTCGATTGGTTGTTGTATCACCAAATTAAACCTTAACACACAAATTACACTTAGACATCACGTCATCACCCTCTTTAAATTTGGTAAACTGGGTCTAAACGTCTTACCTTAGCTTCATTGTTCTTCTCTTCATTTTGGTAGCAGGTGTCACAGGAGGGCGATTGTCAGGAGGTGTTGTTGCAGCATTCACAGTACCACTAGGGGCAGGATTTAAACTTGGACATGATTATGGTGAGGCTACGGAAGAAGCATCAGCAACAATTAACAGTACCATCACTCAATTCTCTTGGTTCGTGAACCTTTAATTAACAAAGCAACATAAATTAATCTTGCGACCCAAGAAAAATCAGATCTGCTTCACCATTCCGCCTTTTGAATCGGACCACTACTCCTTTTCCAGTCCCCTTTTTGAATCGGACCATTTGCTCGTTCTCCAATCCCCTTTTGAAAATCGGATCTGCTTTGGGTTTCCTCTTACCCCGTCACCCCTGAGCTACCCCTCTTTTTGTGCCACTCTTAAAGGGACATTTCCCTAACAATAGCATTCTCCTTTTCTCTCAGACGACGTAATTCCACGTTGTATACTTCTCATGACGTTGCATCCTCTTATCAGGCTTCTTATCTCCCAATCCACTAGTCCTGAAAACTATACGGCCCACCACTTTGCAACAAAACTTCGTCAAAATTGTCCCAACATGATTCTTGACTTCATGATGACAATCGATCACAGAATCTAGCGCTTGGTCTCTTTATACTTGCAACAGCTGTACTCATTTTTAGGAAGAAGCCAAGTCATCGTTGATTTAATCATTTTCGCAGTAAGAGGGAAGCAAATGGCACATTCAGGAAGATCCCAAGACATAGTACACTTTTCTTACCTCAGTAGTCTGGAAAACATACTTGCAATGTTTCAAATATATCACCACTATTCTCCCCGCATATACTAGTCAATATCAGTATCCCCTTCTGGAATATTACCATACAGCCTCGAGAGCATGGTCAATCCCTTTAAGGACTCATAGATCTGCTCTTTGTCAGGGTGTCTCTCGTCAAGCGAATAAAACTCTGAGACAACATCATTGACCTCAATCAAGCTACATCCTGGTAACTTCCTGAATCCAGTATCTCTTGTTGCAACCTTCAGTCTGGCCAAATCTTTCCATCTACCAATATCACCATAGACGTTTGATAGCATCACGTAGTTTGTTGGGTTCTTGGGGTCAAATTCAACAAGCTTTTCAAGGGCCAATTCAGCAAATTCAACATTTTTGTATACCCTACAAGACGCAAGCAGAGTAGCCCACATGACAGCATCGGCTTCTTTAGGCATCTTGACAATGAAATCCACAGCCTGAGCTAGAAGACCGGCTCTTGCTAGCAAATCTACAATGCACCCGTAATGCTCAATTTGAGGTTCTATTGAGTAATCATCAATCATTGATTTGAGATATGAGAATCCATCCTCTACGAAACCCATATGTGCACAGCCAGACAGGATTCCTATAAAGGTGATTGAATCTGGTTTTTCTCCAGCATTTTTCATTTCACTAAACATATTCAAGGCATCAGCTCCATGACCATGCGTTGCTAAACCACAAATCATGGTGTTCCAGCTAATCAAATCCTTCCTTTTCATGCTTCTGAATACATCAATTGCACTTTCCATGGCTCCAGATTTGGCGTACATGTCAATAAGAGCATTCCCAACACGACAATTTCCACTATATCCATTAGCCTTGGCTTGAATATGCACCCACTTGCCTAGAACTAGAGCACCTAATCGTGCACACGCAGATAACACCATCACCAATGTCGCTTCGTTCGGTTTGACTTTGTTCTCTGCAAGCATTCTATTGAATGTCGTCAACACTTGAGGGAAACGCCCATTATGTGCATAACCACCAATTAGTCCATTCCATGAAAAAATATTTTTCTCCGGCATTTTCTCGAACAATGCCTCACAAGCCTCAACATCGCCATTGTTTGCATACCCATTGAGTACGGTATTCCAGGACATGAGATCCTTTCTACTCATCTTATCGAAAAGTTCCCGTGCTCTTATCATGTCTCCTACTTCGAAGTAACCCAAGATCATTGTATTCGACATCACAACATCATGCTCCGGAGCCAGGTCAAAGAGCCTCCTTGCAGCAATGATGTCATGGCAGGAAATGTAGCCATTGATCATCACAGTCCAAGCAACCACATTCCTTTCCGGCATCTCACAGAAAATCTTGTAAGCTGCTTCAATTAGATTCCGATTCGAGTACAGCTCAACCAAAGTAGTGCCAACAAATGAGTTCGAAGCAAATCCACTCTTTGTCACAAGGCAATGCAACTCTTTACCTTCTCTCAAAGCGTTGATCTTTATACAAGATTTCAGGACAACAGGAAAACTGTAACCGTTTGGCACTATATCAAAACTCCTCATCAGACAGAACAAAATAATAACCTCCCGGTGCTCAGCATTGAGGTAATGGCATTTGAACATTGTATTCCAGCAAGAGACGCTTGGTACAGGAATTTCATCGAACAACTTACGGGCACACTCCGTTTCCTTCAGCAACCCGCACGCCACGATAACTTTCTGGACAATATGTTCGCTCCGGCTAAACCCATTGGCCGTTACCTGAGACTGGACCTGCCGGAGATGCTTGATGGTCTTGCATGACTGCAAGAGTGAGATAATCCTCTCCTGAAGAAGTCTCTGACAGGACAGCATCGAAGCTGCACAAGAGTGAAATAATCCTCTCCTAAAGTCGCATGTTTCTGGCTTTTTGCCTAACATGAAAAATGGATTTCCAACTATTGTAGAGGATCATCGGTGATTGGGATTCAATACGCAGAGGAAAAGCTTTTTGAGGTCGTTTGCTGGGGACGAAGGAAGTCGCGACGGACAACTAGCGCGAGAGAGTATTATAGTACCTATCTACTCACTCAATTTTTTTTAATATATTGATTAGAAGAAGATAATTACGTCATGGAATTTAACCAGACTATAAATTTAAAAAAGCGACTCGCATTCTCTACAAATGAAAGGCTTTCTTAGCCACCAAATGGGCTACCTTATTACTATGTATGCCGAACTACAAACCGCACACTGAACCCACTATGGTTTGATAAGCAATGCAGAACTTCGTCAAGAAGGGCTCCAATCCGGCTGTCACTAGAATCGACCTGGTTGCTTTTGTCAATAATCACCTTTACGACCCCTTCAAATCGCATTTACGTAAACCCAGACACGACACATCAAAGAATTGTCTCCCCGAGCGAAAGGACCTCAACAACCAAAGGATCTTCAATCCCAGCAAATTGGACTCCTTTAGCCAGAAGAACCACCCCTGCCTGATTCATAAAAACCATTCCTCCCGTCGAGTGGGACGCTTGCTTGATAGCCCCATCCCACTAACAAAGAAACGGACAAGAGGTGAAATCCCCTTCAGGTTGATCGGTTGTGGCAGGGTCTCGCTGAGTCCTATAACAGGCAAACTTCGCTACCCTATATTTGGTTTTCATCCTAATTTGTGAAACCCTACTATATCATAAAAACAAATTGGTTCAAGTTTATAAGGTTTCTGGTCTGTGTAACTCGTGGTATGATTTATGAGAGATCTAGTATGCTTTAATAAACTTTTGATATACTATATGAGGTGATAGACCAATAATTACACATGTTTATACCTCTATTCTTAAGCCGTTTGAGAGTCGATTCTCGTGTTTTAAGCCGATTTCACGCTAGGTTGTATGTTTATGTCATATTTCAGGACTTGGCGTTGACGTGAAGGCGAGGAAACGAGTTTCGAGTAAAAAAGGAGGACATTGGTGTGAAGGGCGCTGGAAGAGGAAAATACCCGGCCAGGAGTTAAAAATACCCGGCCGGGTAAATTGCTGAGGGAGGCCGGGATTCACGTTTTTGGACGCCAAGAAGCAGAAGGGGTCCCGACTAGAGAGCAAAAATACCCGATCGGGTATTCGGGGCTATGACCGGGTATTAATCCCCTACGCAAAACTGTGCGTTTTGAAATCCCCGGCCGGACACCTAAAATACCCGACAGGGTATTATGGCCGGGGATCACGATTTGCTAGCTCATAAGGAAAAGAAGGCCAACTTTTGAAGTGTTCTGAGTTTTAGAGAGAAAAAGCTGATACCTAGAGAGAGTGACGAATCTGATTCTCCAAGTGCCCTAGATCGATCTTCACCACCATTGGAGCCCGACTTGAGCTTGGAGAAGTGCCGATTGATTGCCAGAAGCAGAATCTCATCCTTCACAGTATGGTTTCCGCATCTGAGCGAGATTTCCCTTCTCTCTCTATGGAGTAAATTTTCTCATTCACCTGGGTATGAACTATGAAGAACCCTAGATTTGTATGTTAGGTCTGATTGTATGAACGCAAGTACGAATTCAGTTATATGATTATATTCAATTGAGGTTTGATTTCTTGAATGACATGAATCTTGATCAAATTCCTGTTGTTTCTGCTTTGACCTAGAAAGAGAGTATCTGTCTAGGTTGATAGAGCACCCTTGTGTTGAAGGTAGTGAATTGACGACTCTAGTCGAGAAGTCAATTCACTATTCTGTACCGGATTTACTTCGGTAGATGAGGTTTGGTTCGTTAGGGCCTCAATCTGTTTACTCCGGTGGAGGTTAGTCGCCCGCTGGGAATTCAGATTGAGAAGGTCTGGAGACCTTTAGTCGAGATTGCAGACTGTTTAAGAACCTCCCGCAGTATAACTATCATTGAACTTGAACTTGGTAAATTACAACCTGGCTTAACTACAGTCTAGGGGGAACCATATATGGGTGACCTCTCTCAACTTGAACACAACTTTCACTGCTTTGCTTGCTAGTTTAACTAAACCTTCACTAAACTAGAACTGCTAAATAATAAGATTTTCACAGAGTAGTCATCACACATAGGACCCGGGTTGACATTTAGAACTGAACCCGTTATACTAAGCATTAGTAGGTGGTTGCACTTGGCCACTTTCTAGTGTGACGGTAGAGGCGTGTCATGAGTTTTCTGGTATGTTTTAAGAATTTTGCGGTGTGCTTTATGAGGTTTATCAACTCGCAGGTTGACTACCTTGATCAATATATGAAAAGAGAAAACGAGAAAAGAGTAAAAAAGGATTTTTGACGAAATTAATTAAGTGTTTATTTCATTACTTTATTTAGATAATTCTTTTAATTTTACAAAAGATACTCATTTTCCACAAGATTTCATAGATATGAAAACCAAACCATAAAGTGTTCACAACGAAGACTCCATGAGGCCACAAGAATCGGCAGCTGGAACAGAGAAAATCGGCATAGGGCGTCATTTTTCCCATTGATTCTCCCACTTAAGGTGGACTCTTCTAAGTTAGGAGGGTTTCTGTGTCGGCAGAGTAACAACCCTTCATTGACCTCTCATCTCCTCCTCTCGAACTCTACCTCTATACCCTATTTATAGATCTTCGATTAGGCTTTCTGAGGAGGAAGGTTGACTTATGCGTCATTCGGCCAATCAGAGTGCTCCAAACACGTGGCCAGCGAATCAAGATGTTTCGGAATAAATTCCTAGCGAAGTGGACGACTCTCACAAAACGGTGTCGTGACGGCCTTTTCTCTTCCCTAAATGGTGCTCCATACGCCTTTTTTCCTTGACGTCCGGTCTTCGAATCCTAGCTCCAATAACTTGGGCTCGATGTCCCCTACGGCTTCCAAGTGGCCCACTAGGTTGCTTTGCCCTTAAAATGCAAAAAACGCTACCAAAAGCATATCAATCATATAAAAGCAATCATAGGGTTACTAGTACACACTTGAAACAATCATAGCAATAATTCAATATATTAAGATGATAATTATGGGAAATGTATCCACTTTGGGTCACAATACGAGGGTCTATAATAAATACTTTCATGTGTCATCAGTGAGCGCAACTATGCACTAAAGTCAAAACAAAAACAACATGTTGGATATAAACTGAGAGCCTTCTTTGGTATTGGATGAGCTGCTAGATTCTCACACCGAAGCACAACACAAAGCTTACAACTAGAGTAATCCTGCAAAAGAGGGTGAACCTCCAGCAAAATGGCTCCTAGTATCCATCCGAATTCACCTTGTCCAAAACTTTGTTTATAATTACCTGAGCATCCCCTTCAATCACAACATAGCCTAAGCACCAACCTTGGCACCAAATCAAAGCATCCATTAACATGAAGAACACTACAATGTAGGGATTGTGAACAATATAGTGAAAAGCGTGTTTCGACATAAAAGCGTTTTGGTGATCTATAAGCATAAAATCGTAAGTTTTTAAGTTTTAAAGCACAGTTTTTAACTACATTAGTTATAAATATGGTGATCATGCATAGAAGCGTTTTGGTGACCTAGAAGAGTAAAAGTGTAAGTTTTAAAGTTTTAAAATTCGATTTTGACTACAGTGATTGTGAATAAATGGGTAACATCTCCCCCAGTAGCAAGCATCTCATCCATCATGCTCCATTGGCATAAATGGGTAACATCTCCCCCCAACAGCAAGCATCTCATCCCTCCTGATTCTCCCTTGTGTTCCTAGCTGCTCCCAAGCCCTGTAGTTCAGAGAACTGTACCTACAATTGGATCACCAAAACATGTGGCATGTAGTGTAAACCATCAAAAAATACCACATTTTGATACTTCCAATCCTCCAGAAGCCACAAAGGATTTTGATTCTTCTCATGGCTCAATCGCCTCAACTTTCAAGAGCCTTCGCCAAACATCACCACATTACTACATTCAAAAGAACTTATTACCTCTGAGAGATGAGTTTCCTCCCACGGTCTCTAAGCTATAGGAAAATAGAAGAACAAGTTATCTCGGGGTTTCATCTTCTACGAGACAATAAATGCATGTCACTGATGTGGCTACCCCACGGCTCTACAGTGTCACACCAATAGGTAAGATACCTCTTATAAGTTTCCATAGGAAACAGTGTCGCTTTGGTGTACAGTGCAGAGCCCAGAGCTTCTTCCATAAACTCAAATCTTATATGTTCACTAAACTCCTCCAAGAATGACCTGCATCGTGATTTTTAAAAGCAACAAAGTAGCATGATTTAACAGTAATTTTAATTGAGGGAGTAAAATTACAAACTAACCTATATGAAACGTCGACAGGAAAAAAAAATAACGGATCATAGTTGTTGTGCCTTGAGGAATATGTTGTTGCATAACTGCCATATTCCAGACTCCAATACCTTATTGTACGAGGGATGAGATAGTCCGCCCTTGCAATACCTGAGGATATTTTCTAAGTTGTTCCACATGTGGCATCCATGAATTATCTTCAATAAGGATCGTCTCACCTGATCGTACCTACCATCTCAGACCTTCTTGCAATGATCCCTTTTTGTATAAGATGTTATGTCATCCCCAGGAAGGCGTTGATCCGAACTTTGTTGTCAAAAAACTCCCCTGATTATATTGCGTACCCTTATAAATTCTAGCTAGCAACAACGAAAGGGTGGTCCAAAATTTTACACCCAATCTTCGCCAACAAAGTTTTATTAAAAGTTTCAAAATCTCTTAATTACATTCCTCCGCCGACCTTAATTTCGCCAATTAGTCTCCATGAAACCCAATGCATATGAAATCTCCCTTATTTCACCCCCACCAAAACGTGAGATGATTATATTTAAAGTTTGTCATAGGCCCTTAAGGAGTTTACGACACAGAAATATGTGGATGGCAAGCCAAAACCACATATTTCAGCAACATCTCTTTTACTGCTTGTGACAGACAATGAATTTTCCAACCTTAGAGTCGACTCATAAGATTTTCCTGCAAAAACAAAACTTCTCCTTCTTCGATCTACTAACCAGCGATGGGAGCCCCAAGTACTTGTCTTTCACTCCAATTTCTCCCACACTCGTCATTTTTCCATATAGACCGCCTCCTTTTGCATCCACATTCTTGCTAAAGAAAACTGCGAATTTTGATAGGTGTACTTTATGGCCGTTGAGAACATATAGGAGTCATCAACAAACAACATGTGTAAAATTGGGGGAATTGCCTTCCTAATTTGATTCCATGTTTCAACCCATCTGCCTCCTCATTCTCAATTAGAGCAGTAAATCCTTCAATATAGAGGGCAAAGAGCAAGGGGGATAGTGGATTCCCTTGTCTCAACCCATGTGTTGGACAAAAGAAATCTCATGACTTGCAACTGAGGATGAGAGAAAAGGATGGTGTCATAATACATGGTCTCATTCAATGAAATCATGGAGAGTAGAAACCAAGCTTTTCCATCATAGCTGCCAAGAAAGGCAACTCTATTATGTTGTATGCCTTTTTTCATATCGAGTTTCACTCCCATCAGCCACTTTTTCATTTTTCGTTTTCAATTTAAATGGTGCATCACCTCATGCCCCACAAGTACATTTTCGAATATTTGTAGTTCCCTAATGAATCCATTTTGATAATGTGACATCACCTCCCAATGTAGTGAAGCCATCATCTCTTCCATAAGTTTAGATATGATTTTGTATACAAATTGACACAAGTTGATTGGTCTCAGCTGCTTCATATTCTCTACCAAGTCAACCTTTGGGATCAATGATGACCATGCATGATTAAAGTTATGCAGCAGTTTGCCTGATAGGAAAGAACAATTGAACCACCTTCGTTACGTCCTCGCCGACTATATGCCAAAAACTTCTAAAGAATACTACTATGAAACAATCGTAGTCAAGTGCTTGTGTTGCTCCTATGGAAAAGACAGTTCTCATGACCTCGACTGGGAGGATCGCAGTCACCAACTTTGTGTTCATGTCCACAGTAATTTTGAATTGAATTGGAAGTTTGGCAACACTTCTCTCCACCTGCTCCAGTACACATTCAATTGAGAACAACTTCATAAAGAACTCCTATGTTATTTTAGTCATCTCCTCATACCTTGTGACCCATCTTCTGTCTGCATTTAACAACCCTTCAATTTAGTTTTGATGCATTCTAACACGTGTAATCATATGAAAGTATTATGAGTTTCTATCCCCTCCTTCGTCCATCTCAGACCAAAACGACTACGTCGAATGATAGTGTGCAATTCTTCCAGATCGTGGCCGCGATCTCTGTTAAGAGGTTGCAATTTTGCCCGAGATTCCTGTTTGTCTATAAATAGATGTGACTGCCTCATATTTCAAGGAGCTTAGGGTTTTTGGTGGTTTTGACTCTTGAAGAGAGAGAAATAGCTATGGGTTAGAGAGAGGAACCTAGGGTTCCCTTGAAAAGAGGAAGGAAAGAAGAAGAAGAAGAAGAAGAAGAAGAAGAAGAAGAAGAAGAAGAAGAAGGGGAGTCATCTTGAAGATTGAAGGCTAGCCACCAGCTAGTGTTCACGAAGACAATGGTTCCCTCCTCTTCTTCTATGGGGTAATCCCCTTTGGGCTTGGGGTAAGAACCCTTAACCTTTATATGATGTTAGGGTTTTGATATGAATGTATGAATTCTCTCCCACTATTAATGGTCAAATTGATATTTTATTATGCCATTATTTTGCTTCACTGGAGATGGATAGTGCTAGCTCTTGGCCTAGGTTGAGGTGACCATCCCCTTAGGTCAAGCCACAAACATTTATCAATCGATACACGATTTGAACTTGACCATTGAGTTGAAGTTGTGTTTGTCCTTGGGTTTACCCTCGTAGGAATAAAGTCTTACCATCCTAGTGTTGGTTGCATGACCATTGAGCCGAGAAGCCTACTAGGAGGGCTTTAGGAGACATGACCATTGCCCCTGTAACGATATAAGATGAATTTGACATCATAAATGGAAATAACATCACGTTTGTAATCAAGCTCGAGTCTTTCTAGGGTTAGGGGGAAGCTAGCCCCAAGTACCTCTCCTATACTCAAACCAAAACACCCGGTAGTTGCTCTAGTAGTTTAAAACACCCCAAATTATCATTTAGGTTAAATAGTAAATTAGTCATGAAGTAGTAGTAGATCCATGGCCTCATGGAATACGACCGAGCCGCTTTACTTCATCCCTAACATTGTTATACTTGACAATGTTAGGATAGAAGTGAGTGTGCATCGTACAAATTTAAAACTCATCATGCATGTAGTGTCTATATAGGGCAGCAAGCTCGCACGCGTGCAAAGCACCTCGATGTAGCTTACTGCTATTTTTAGATTATCTATTTATTCAAATTTTTAGTGTTTTTAAATTCAACGAATCCATTTCAAAGCAATTTCACTAATTGCTATTCAAAACACAAAAATTATATTAAAATTTTTAAATGAATTCCAACCACTAGAAAATGTGAACAGTCAATGAAAGTGATGAAAGAAATTGATTTCAACTAAAAAAATATTTCATAAATCGTTTAAATTCCAAAATATCGAATCATCATGAATAAAGAAAATTCCAAAATATAAGTATAATTATTCATAAGCTATATTTATTCAACAATAAACAAAAAAGTATAAAATTGAATAAATTAGGATTGAAGTTGTTTCAATTTTCAATGAGGCTAAAATGTCATATTTCCAAATGACTTCAATTTTTAGTCCTTCGATTGTGGATAGCCTAAAGCGTGTCTCACACAATTCGTTCTTACAAACGAAAATAATTGTATTACAAATAGCAACCCAGAAAATGAACCATAAAAGCCAAGCTGATTAACAAACAAACAACAAATCATCCTAGAAAAATCAAGTGGAATTGAGTGTAAAAGTTCTTTTGATACACATAAAAAAATCTTATACACCAAACACGAAGGCTGCAACAGCCAGACTAATAGCTGCTGAAGGCCAAACCCTAAGCCGACGGATCAAATCACTAGCACTGCTGCACTCATCATTGGCACCGCTGAAGCACCCGGGCCTCATGATCTTTGCAACACCACCCTCTATTGCAAAGCTGCTGTTGGTCTTCCCGCTGCTGAACAGTACACACCAGAAGTAAGGTGAGCCTCCATCGCTGCCACTCACGGCAGCCCCAACTTCAGTGTGGTTCTTGTCATACAGAATCTCCAGACTCTTGCTGTTCTTCATGAGAATGCTTGAGAAGGCCTCAGATGGAGGCACATATTTTGTCTCGCAGCCCAGCAATCGACCAGTGATGGGAGTGAGGCTTGAGGCAGAAACCCCACAGTTGGGTGCAAAAGTCTCAGCAAATTCAGTATCAGCAGGCTTCTTTGCATTACCGCCGCCACCTACTGCGCTGCATTCCCCTTCGTACGCTTTAATGTACTGCAACGCGATACAAGCTAGGCCTGGATTATCATAGAGGGACGATCCCTTGTGAGCTGTCCGGTTGCTGTTAAGCGCGGCAACCAGTTGATCTGCTGGGTTATTGGTTAGCTTCTGCGCGGCGGTAACTGTATGAAACAGGAAAAGCTTCATTGGTGTCTGACTACTACACTGTGACGAATGAATGAATGAATGAATGAATGAAGCAGAAAAGACATCCAACAATCTACGTTAGAAGATATATGTAGCAACACAGACCAAGAGCCTAGTGGCAGGCTTCTATACCCAATCTAAAAAGCCAGCAAAAGGGACAAACATAAGCTGCAGAAAGGCAGATTTACACAAATTTCACCATAACTAAGCCAGATCATATCTCTGTTGTTATCAGCATAGATGTCTGAAAAGCCTCATTATAGTCAATGGGCGTCCCAAAAATAAGTTCTGGAATCGAAGCAAGATCATCATCCTATCCTATCTATTTCTGGGCATTTTCCTATTCTAGTCTATCCTTCAAGTGCCATCTCCGTAGCATCAAGTAGAATTTGATTCCAGAATATCCAAGCGAAGTAAGCCCTTGGAGTTCAATTTTACTACTAAAATGAACTGGACTCTGGTAGGGAAGAAAACGAAAGAATCCCAGATCCGAACTCGAGCAATTTCTACTAACAGCAGATCAGAGATCTGCAACTCCAATCTCAGCACTACCCTTTTCAGTCTACCATTGGCTCCATTCATTCAATGCCACACAGTGGAGCCCCAGAAACAGTTAAATAGAGTGTTTTGATGAATCACAAATCTGTAGAGATGTGGGGCACATTCCCCCATTAGTGAATATTACCAAATTACATTATCAGTGGATAGAATGGGAAAGCAAGCAAGCGGGGACTTTGAAACTACTTACCGTGAACATTTGCGGAGGCGGAGGAGAAGACGAGAGCCAGTAGTACAACAAGAAAAAGAAACAATGCCTCCATTTCCTCTGTACTTCGATTGTTCTGGGCTTCAGAAGCAGCAGTAGCAGAGAGAGAGAGAGAGAGAGAGAGAGAGAGAGAGGGAGGGAGATGGTCTCAGCCCTCAGGCGCAGCGAGATGAGGAGAAGATGAGTAAAGAGGTGAGGGAATGGAAACAGGACAGAGGGAGATGGAGTCAGTAGCAAGTCGACTTCTCTGCCTCGCACCTCCTCAACTGCTTGTTTCGGCTTTCGGTTGCCGACATGCCAGCGAAAAGCTAGTTGGGAGCGGCAGCGCACCAAACGGGTTCGCGGGTTTGCCCGTTCTCGGTCTGACCAACTCGACTCTTGAATTCGTTTAACGTTGTTCATTAGAGGGAAAATGCATATGATAAAATCGGTTTGATAGCTTACAAATTTTATAGTTGAAATTTTTTGGTAAATTAAAATAAATGGGCATTTGAAATTGTCAAGAATATCACTTTCTGTGTATCAAACAATTATTTTTTTCGTTGAATACAAACAAACAATTATTCATGAGCCAGTTAGTCATTCGCTTTTGAATAATATATTTTGTCAAGAACCATTTAGTATCAACAACTCCTAAGGTTCGATCATGAATATTATATAATTTACTAACATGTAACATCAAATGGAAGCCAACTTATATTGGCTTGAAGTTTGCACAAATCCTAATATTAATTCTTAATTAAATATTATATTTAATTTACTTATTTTCCTCCGAAAGACCATCATGTTACATACCTTCACCTGTAGGGATGACAATGGGGCGGGTTTGTCTAAACCATCACCATCCCCGCTTTCAAATATCCAAACATGTACTCGCCACATACCCATGCGGGGGAAGATTTTGCAAACTCATCCCCATACCCGTGGATTTCGGGTACCCATGGGTAATACCCGCCCTGTACATCCAACATCATTATACCTAAGACTTTACATGTAAATTATCAATTATAACGCTAAATAGACCTACAATATCATGAAGTCAATAAATATACAATCATTCTTAATACGGTTCAAATCATATGATCCTAAAACATCTATTAATCAATAAGATAGAGTATAATATTTTTCAAATCATTAGTTTCGAACTCTGATATCAACCCATATATATATAGAGGAGCATATATGTGGAAACTGCCACGTCAGCCAGTGCAAAACATTGAGGGATTTACGGAGGGGTGTTTTTGTCAAACCGCAATGTCAGTTCAGAGACAAAAAAGTGAAAATGGGCTAACAAAAATTGTTCCTGCTAGCGCCCAAAGATAGACTCATAGCTATATATTAATAAAAATTTGGGCGTGTCAATTTGGGCCGATTGAGTTCACACTGAAACAAAAATGCAACCGAAATAAATTTGGGCCCGTATCTATACATTACATCTATCTTGCTTAAACCTTAAAGTCCTTCGTTGCTTCTCTCTACCCTCCCTTTCTCCTAAACAATTCTCCCCAATTTCTGGACACGGTTTCTCCGTAGAAGAGGCCCAGCTTCCAATCTCCTGCAGCGATACGATCCCAATCGCCGCAGGCCATTCCAATCCTCCGGCAGACCGTCTTAGTACAAACTCATCCATGGAGTCCAACAAATTTCCCCCCAATTTTTGAATGTGATTATCGCATACCAGAGTCCCGCTTCGCTTCCCCAACGGTGCGAATCAAAGTGCATATATGAAGTTTGCCACATCAGCTGTTCCAAAGCAATACGTAATTTTCGAAAGGGTATTAGTGTCAATGAACACATATGAAGTTTGAATTATTCCCTACTGCTCAATCAATTTGCCATCAAACTTTGATATAGTCTTTCATTAGTTATAATTTTCCCGAATTTTGAAAATTTCAAAGTGAACATGAGTATAAGAAATCATTAATTTATAAACTTAATTCTTAAAATAAGTCTTAAATGTTCTATAAAATGAGACAACTTTACAATAATAAAGGACTGAGTGCTTTAGAAGTATTTAGTACGCAAACGGGCTCTAACTGGGTGCTAAATAGAATTTGGCCAAGAATGTTTATCAAGATTCAAGTGCGCCAAATGAATAGCTGAATGGTCCTATGTTAACGTTTTTATGTGTTAAATATGTGACAATCGTCACTTACATGTGTTGGCAATGCCTTAAATTGATAAAAATAAAATAGATAACAAAACAACATACTCATACTGGCATATAGTTCAGGCAAATTCTGTTAATCGTTTAAGGAATTGAGAGATGATTTATTAGTAGAGGTGAATCTAATATTTTTAAATCCAATCCATTTTATCCAAATCCAATTAGATTGGTGGATTCATGGATTAATACATGGATCCAAATGACAAATTAGGGTTCAGTACCTGTACTTATATATTTTTTATATTTTGGTACCTGAATTTTATTTTTATAAGAAAAATGTCATTGAAAAATTACATTTTGGTAATTAAAAATTTTCAATATGATTTTTTAGTACCTAACCTTTTCAAAATTTACATATTGTTCCAAGGCTTACATGTCATTTGGATTCATGGATCAATCCACCAATCCATAAAATGTACACAAACTTACTACTTTGCCCCATCGTTCATGAAATTTTCATTCTAGCCTAAACTATGCACCAAGTTTGACATATTTCATTTACGTTACGTTGTTGGAATTTTAGTGAGTTATTGTAATCTTGCTTACATTTAAGGATTTAGGTTTGGATTGTCTTAATTTCATAGTCTTGCTTTACCCTCCCTATAATTCTTCACTACTAATTCAAATGAAATATTTATCGAACAATACAATTAAGGTTTGATTTTTTAACGCTTTTTAAATAATCCAAGTTTCACATGGAAGATCAAATTGAGGTTGAATCGAATAATCAAACCCGACCAACGGGTCGGGGAAAATGCTAGTATCTATTAAGTAATAATTAACTAACATAATTATCTTGTTAACAAGAGGGAAAAGTGAAAGAATGAAAGGAGAATTGAAGGAAAGGAATTGGATTTGGATTTGGGTGGTCATATATTGTCTTGAGTTACCTTCACTATCATTGATATGTTACAATTTGATCAATGTATTTTTATGTGTGAAGAAATGTTTTTGGTGGGGCGGGTATGGATATGGAGTGGGTATGAGCCGGTAAAACCCGCAAAATTTTTGATAGGTATGGGGCGGGTATACGGGGATTCCCCGCGTTGACTGCGTCGGAGGCAGTCGGGTGTCCGCGGTCATGGGTTTGATTGCCATCCCCACCGGTAGTTGAAATAATGTTATTTTTAACAAATTAACAATGTCGTGGTAGAAAATTTGTTGTTGGTAATAAATATGTATAACATTATTATTTTTCTTATTATAATTTAATTTGATTTTAAACTAAATAATGATATGTGAATGATGTGGCATCTAAATGGACGACACATCAGCGAAAGTCAACAATATTTTGACCCCATCCGGTCAACAATTATTTTAACGGTCAATATAAGATGTCACAATACGGGCTAAGATAGGGGTGGGCAAACGGTTCGGTAAACCCGAACCGAAACCAAAACCGAAAGCGAATTAATGCTAATCGGTTCGGAATTCGGAAGGAAAATATGGATAGTTAGAAAATCAGGGTTTTTTCAACCGAACCGAATTTCCGATCGAAAAACCAAAATACTATAATTGCAAGCTCCAAATGGTGGATTTTTATGTTTGTAGTTGTTTTTAGACTTAAATATTTGAAATGTTTTATGACTTATGTGTTGAAAAGTTTGATTTTATCATTGATGATGCATATATTGATATTTATTGTTTATATTAGGGGTGAAAAATAATTTAAAAGTGAGAAAATACAAGTAGCTTCACAAATTCGGTTTTGTGTGAAAAACCGAACCGAATTATAGTTCGGTTTAAACCGACCGAACCGAATTATAATTCGGTTTGAGATTTTGGAGAATTCGGGGACCCGCTATTCATAATTTCGGTTCGGTCGAAACCGAACCGACCGAATGCCCACTCCTAGGCTAAGATCAGGTGACTAAGGGGGGGTCCCTTAGTCACATGACTAAGTAAATCTCAGCTCTTCCACCTCATTAAAATCCAATGATTCGGATTGATCTCATTTAGTAAAGGGTAATGTGGTAATTGCATGATTTTTAATTATTATATAAATTAAAAATATACATTCCTTTTTTCCGTGCTGGATTTTCGGACCCAGCGCAGGTGCTGGGACGCCGCGCCACCGCGGGGAGGAATTTTCACCCTTGGTGGGTTTTCGGCCGCCAATTTCCTCCTCTTCACCCAATTTGCTTTGCGTTAGAGAGAGAGAGGGTTTTCCGGTCGGCTTTTCCGACGAGGGCGAGGAGGCTTTCCGGCGATCAAAGACGGTGGAGGAGGATTTTCGAAGAGTGCTCAGAAAGTACTCTATCTCTTTGGAAAAATATTCGTAAAATCGTCGACAGTGCTGGATTCGTGATATTTGTCGACCTATATTGTAATGTTTATAAGTTCAGTTTGTAATGTTTCTATCAATTCGGTTTGTATTGTTTATTATTCTTGTTTGTCATTTTTGTCTATTATATTTATAATGTTTATATGACTATTTTGTATAATTTGTAATGTTTGTTTGTATAGTTTGTATACTTTATATTCATCGGTTTGTAATACAAGTTTACAGATTTGTATTGTAAGTAGTGGTATTTTGTACGGTTAGTATGCTTTGTACTATTTTTTTTAATGAAGTTGTACTATTTGTTTGTTTCTTTTGTAATGTTTGTAAGTTTTGTTTTTTGTAATGTTTGTCGGTTTCTTTTGTAATGTTTGTAACCTTTGTTATTTTTGCCCACCATGTTTGTCATTTTTGTCACCCATATTTGTAATGTTAACTATGTCTAAAAAACAACTTGGTTGACTTTTGGATGGAACTCCTCAATAAAGAGAAGGAGCTTTCAAAGTCAACCCGGGTGTTTTTCCATTTTGTATGGTTTGTCGGTCTAGTTTGTCATTTTTTCACCATGTTTGTAATGTTTGTATGTCAAAAAAACAACCGGGTTGACTTTGAGACGGAACCCTCTGTATAGGGATGGAGCCTACAAAGTCAACCCGCTGCTTTTTTTCATTTTATATGGTTTGTATGTTTGTCTGTCTAGTTTGTATTGTTCGTATGTTTTGTATTTTTTGTAAATCTGTTTGTATATTTTATCGTTTCAATTTGTAATGTTTGTATGTTTGTAAGTCTGGCTTGTATACTTTGTAATTTTTCATAATACCCAAACTACCTTGCCATTAATTAAAAAGCTCTTCCCACTTTTTAACCGTCAGATTGGTGTGTCAAGATCTAAGGACTAGAAGGGACTTAGTCAAGTGACTAAGCACCCCCTTAGTCATGGAATCCGGAACGTCAGGATACAAATATCACAAACTCATATAGTTGGAGATATGAATGTAATATTATTATTAGAATTATTAAAACACAAGTTATCAAAATTACCAAAACAATAAAGTTATTGTTCATTACGACAAAATAGCGGTAACCACTCTTTAATCGGAAAATCTAACCCCTACGGCGTCGTAAGACACACTTTTACAGAAAAGAATGACACTTTCGTTGGGAAACACTATTCATCACCGGATTATTGAACGGTTTAATTCCCTGTGGTCCTTTGTAGCGTAATTCCGTGGGAAGACCCTGTCGGTTGGCCTATGGGGTCAATCTCCTTCTCTTCAATTTACGGATTTAGTTGCCTTCGCTAACTAATAATTAGCTCTTATATTTACTACTTCAACAGAAATTTGTGACTATTCCTTCCAAACTTGCTATAAGGTCAGCACTAATTTTGAGATTATAGTGAAATTTATGGTTTACAATAAATTTGGTTATAAGACTTTTTTTCAACCCTTATACCAATTTTATTGAAAGTATTTTTTTTCTTCAATAGTCATTTGTCTTTTGTAATTTTTTGTTCTCATTCCCTACACCCTATTTTACGGCAAACCTTACTCCTTGTAAAGATATTTATTTCATATTACGAAAGATTTACAAATATATTAACTTAATTATAAATATATTATGTAAAACTTATGAAGATTTTTTATTTATTTCTTATATATTAGTTAAAAAAATGTACTACGTAGTTTTTCTTTTATAATTAAGACACTATGCAAAACATATAGATGAATAGTGAATTAAGCATATTAATTAAGTGTTTCATATATTTAAGTTTGAACAAAAATTCATATATTATCAACTTAACATTTGACCATCTTATACATATGCATTACACAAATTTTTTGTATGGTCAGTTATTTTTTACCTAACAATTTAATCAAATGTGACAGTATTCATGAATTAACTCATTCAATTTTTTTTGGTAGAAATTAACTCATTCATTAGTGACAACAATATTCACCATCTCATTAATTCACATTACAAATGTTATGTTGGATCATTTAGATTTTAAATACCTTTTCTAAATTAATTACATTATTCTTTAATAAAATTCCATTATGATTGCCTCAAATATTCATCATTTCATCAATTTATATTACGTAGAAGTTTTCATAAGATAAGCTAACTTTTATGCAATAGTTAAATCAAATGTGATAATTTTTTATAAGCTAATTTCATTGTTAGATCACACATAAAAAATAATTTACGTAACATTATTTTATAACAATTAAGTAAATTACAAATACATTACATAAAACTTATAAAAGGGATATTGATTCTTTATGTATAAGTTAAACAGACGTATAACATAAATTTTAGATACCGAACAAAACTTAAAAGGTAATCGTACCCGAATTATTTTTTAGATTATTCTATTTCAACTGAATTATTAAAAAATTAGATGAAATTTTAATTATAAATCAGGGGAGAAGAAAACAGATAAGATGTACGTGGCACTGCCTTCTCCTTTCGAAGAGCTTAGAGCGGCCACCTAGTCAGCTCCGTGAAGTGGGAGAAAGAAAGGGCGTCGACGGATGCTTCGGTTCTGCAACAATGGCTGCCGCGCTTCAGACCAATGCTAGAGCGACAGCGAATCGGTTCAGCACCACAGCTCTACCAAATTTCTCCTCCGGAAAACACCGCAAGAAATTTGAAGCGGTAAGGTGTAGCTTGATCGGCAGTCCAGAATCGGAAGGCAGCCGCCGGCGATTGCTATCCATTTCCCTTCTCGCCTCTCAGCTGCAATTTCTACTTCCTCCGAACAGTAAGCGGCATCGCTACACATCACAGTGACATTGAAAAGTTAGGGCCCTGGAAAAACATCAATCATTGGGTTGTTTCGTTTCAACTTTTTTGCAGATGCATTTGCAGGCAGCTTGTTGGATAAGTATGTTAAAAGGTAAAAAAAAAAAAAATACAGGACTCTTCGTTCCTCCCTTTTTTCCTGCAGTTTTTTTTTGCTCCAATGGCGAAATGGGTTGCATCTTCTGGTTTCCTTTTCTTTTTGTAGGAAGAAGCTTGACCCTCTGGAGGTATACGTCCCAGCAGTGATATTGACTGAGATGCAGATCAAGGATTTGGGTAAATGCTAGATACTTTCCTTCCAATTAGAGGAATGTTATGAAAATCTTACCCTGTGAGAATGGGGAAAACAGTTTGTATCATCCTACATTCTGTCTTCATTTGAGCCTTGAAAGTTAATCAATCTTGACGAAGAATTCGCATGTATATAGAGAAAACTCTGCAGGTCGATAAGCCTGAATTTGCCAGTTGCCGGACCCTACTGCGGTCCGGTCCAGCAGGATCACTTCGAGTAAACATTCGAGCAGTAAGTTCAAAGACTTGATGTTCTCACTTCGCTTGCTTGCCGATCGAAATGGTGAAAGCCAGATTTGGTCACTTTCTTTTGCCTGTATGACATCAGGAAAGTGCGTTTCTTGCACCATTGTTTGACCTATGATTCCCTTTTCTCTGCAACCCGATGTTGGAAAACCGAATTTCAGGTAGCGCAATATGCATCCGATGCAGGAAATGGGAAAGCAGCATTCAACGACGTAGATCAGTGTCTCAGGTAGGTAATAGTCCCCACCAACAGAGCTCCATCACCGGGCCAATGTTTTGGCGCTTAGAAGCCGTTTGTCTCGTGTTTCTTGTAGAGCATTGGAGGATCTTGATTCCTTGTTCCTTCGAGCATCAAGAAACAATCCAGATGCCTCAGTCAAATTGATGAAAGCAAAGATAGTTGATGCTCTTAGAGCGTTGGACAGGTGATCGATTGCCCTCAACAACCTTCGGCTTTCTTTCGTGAAAAAAAAAAAAAAAGAGTTCAAGGCTCCATGGCTTTGTGCCCATGTCACTGCAGCAAATGTAATATTGCCTACTATTCAGATGCTTACCGGTGCTTCCTCCTGCCTTTTGCAGCCTCCTGAACACTGTTCCTCCAGAGGTACTGGATAAGGGGAGAGCTATTGCAGATGCCTACAATGCACCAGAAGGAGAAGCAGATACACAACCAGAGATCGTAGACCCCGAGCTCAAACAGCTCGAATCAATTTTGTAACAGTTTAGTTCAAAACTTCTCATGGCAGCTTCCAACTCAATGCAGTACCCTATACTTCCGAGTTGCACAACAATGCTCACAAGAATGTAGAGGATACTTCAATTCCCTCGTTCTAATGCCGCGTTTTAATTTTATCTAGCCCTTTCTCTGTCAATTACTGCTTGAAGTTCAAGTCTGCCGAACCATGATTCCGCATGGAATAGAAAGTAAGACCATGCATATTGCAGGCAATAACACAGTCGCATGGATATGAAACCAGAAAAGAAAACCATCTTTTTACAGCAGCTGCAGGCGATAAGGAAAATCGGCCAAGTAAGGAACACATGATTAAAACACCAAGCCACACGGTGTATTTGTATAAGTATTACAGGGGTCAAGACCTAGGACTACAAATACAATAAGGCTAAAGTACAATACCACAAGCATAGCACAGAGGAGAAATACTACATTTACAACCATAGATGACATCCATGGTTAGAGATTTGTTATACAAGTTGTGCATGCAGACACCTGCAACATGCTGCTGCAACATTATACAAGGAGGGCAATTATTTCTTCGCTCACATCAAGAAGATGACAGTAGGCTGCTGAATACCCGCTTTAGACTTGGGCACGCTCCTCGCAACCGGCCCATGCTTATTGAGAATACCTGGAATCTCGACACAAAATAATACCCCGCAATGAGCATTCAGTTGGCAATGCAATACGACAGTAAATCTATTCACCACGATCTCCTCACCTTTGGGCAAAAGCGTACATCCAGAGTCTCGAGCATGTTACACTGGGAAATAGCAGCTTCAACAGCTTCTTCGTTGATGTTGCAGGACTTTAATGAAATTTGACAAATAGGAAGAATCAGCAAAAGTAGAGAATACAATAGCCCATAAAGATGGAAGATTCTAAATATAAAGTATAAAGATGGAAGATTTTTCACGGGTGACTTTTCTACTTTTTTCTTCCAAGTGATGTTACTCCCAAGGGTCAGCCTGGCAGTTGGGTGTTTATCATATCCCCCATTGCCACCGGGTTCCTTGGGATTTTTTACACATATGATTTTTACTCCAAGTTTCAAGTCCAGAGTTGGTAGAAGAAAGGGTTAAGTCAAGACAAGATGATCAAGTTTTAAACAAAAATGAAGTCATCTTCAACTAGTCTCCAACATTGAACAACCTTGAATGACCAGGGACAGGATACCCCTGTCTGACCAGCACTTCCACTCATTCATTGCACACAAACACAAAGGGAAGAACAGCTACCTCACGCAGACATCTTAAAATATATTAAAGCAGTTTAGAAAATCAACCCTCTCCACGTCAGCCTCGCTGGCTTCTCCGCTTTTCTCGGTGATTAGTGAATTTTCATTTTCTTTTAATGTTTCCCTCTTCCGAACGGTTTCTTTTGATCTTTTCTTTTAATTTTGTTTCTCTTCTCCGTTTGCTAAGTGCCACAGGGCTTCTTTCTTTTTAAGAATTCTGCTTCCACAATGCTTTTCTTTGTTTTTCTTTTCTCCCTTTCTTTTGGTTCCGTGAGAGATGAGAGAGAAATTGTTGGATAATTTGTTAATATTTTTTATGATAATTAGTTAATCATAATTATAATTATTTACTCATTCAAATAATAATAATATGTTTTCTAAATTATTATAATAAATATTTGTGTTACCGAGTACGGAGTGAACTTTCTACAAAACTTAGCCTATCCATATAAGTCAAAGAATCTTTCCATCCCCTCAAGATCTTCTCTCATGCACATAATCTCGCTCATTCTCAACACTTTACAATTTTTCTATAGCATCATTTTCATTTAAAGACTCAATCTAACTTTCTTCGAGATTTCTAATCTACCACATCAGTTGGACTTTCACTTGCTAGCGGTGTGTTGTTAAATAACTCTAACTCTAAACGGTAGGATTAAGCATCGTATGTAATTCCATAAATTGACTAAAGTATAAGTTGCAAGATAACATGATATGCCCATCATATTTTTCTTTGAATCATCATTAAGATGAATGCACATTCCACTATTTACTGAAAAATGAGATGCATGTTTTCTCTCTTTTTTAGGTATCTCAAGGAGGTGAGTTTTGTGTTCTAATTTAATAAGAGATATTAAAAACTTTTGATGAATCTATTTGACGTTTCTTACATAAATTTTCTATGTGATTTTAGAAAATTGTTACTTTAATAACGAGATTATACATATACATAATAAATGAAAAAGCTACCTGCCCAATGGGCAGGGGTCGAAGCTAGTAACAATAAAACAATTACATCTTCGTTGTTTTTCACAATTTTAAGCATGCATCCAGACCCGAAGCAAAGACTTCGAAAGCAACAAACATACTGACAAAGTTCATTAAAAAACGTCATATTCAGATAGGATCATACCTGAAGAAATAAACTTGTCAATCGGGGACACTGGAGCTTCAGTATTACCAATGAGTAACAATTGCTGAATGACATATAAACACCAACAGTGAGCACTATATACAATAAGAATCTAAAGTAGACGTAACTACAAAAGAATGCATACCTTAAATTGAGGACACCCAAGTTAAAACAAGCAATATCAACTTCCTTCAAATTGGCAGACAAAGAAAGGTTAAGCGATGACAAATGAGAGCATCGGGCCATTGGTGGGATATGGACCTTTTTAATATTAGGACAACCAACACAGTTGAGGTTCTGCAACAACCGATTCGGCTGCTCGATTGCCGCATAGTTATCCTCAAGTGAAAAAGAAGCACGTGAGCTATTAATAGCTGGCCACTCTGACGCTCGACCATCACTACCACCCCAATTTAGGTCATGCATATTCACACACCCATTCAAGCTTAAATGAGTAAGGTGAGTACAGCAAGCAAGAAGATCCTCTATTGCTGACTGACAAAGGGTCCCATATGACAAATCCAACTCTTGGAGCATAGGTAGAGCACCTCCCTTGTAGAGTGGCTCCAAGGAATCATCAGTCAGATACTTGCAAGCTTGCAATTTAAGTACCTTCAAACAATAAGATAAGTGAATAAAGGGTTGATAAGTTACATGGTTATGTGAGAAATATTCAAAAACAAGAAATGGCAGCATAAGAACAACTGAACAACCAAACTTCAACTATTGACCTACAACTTAAAGATTGAGAAACCTCCAAAAACAGGAAGACACAATCAGATTGAGGAATATGCCACTAGGTTGTATAGAGATTTGGCATTTAACTGTCAGACCTGTCACTAGTAAATACCAGAATAGAACATTAATCACCTAAAAAAGGGTAGTAATGATATAAAAAAAATCAGGGTATACGAAAGCGAATGCCAAAAAATCATTGATGACCCCATTTGAGTCTCCTAGTTGCAGATAAAGTGGCTTATTCTATCCGCAAAGTGTAATTTAGCGGCCACTTAAACATTCATAGAATTCTGAATTACACAGATAAAAAATATGTGCACTGGTTATGAAAGGAATCATAGTAGGGTCTTGATTACCTTCAACTGCAAACAAGACTGAAAAACAGGCAGCAGATCCATTAAAAAGGTGTACGACAGGTCCAGCACAGTCAAATTGGGAAGCCAGTGCAAAGAGTAAAGCCCATCGGAGCCAACAGAGGGGCAAGACATGAGGATTAACGATTCAATCAATGGGCAGGATGCAGCAGTTGCAGACAAGCAGTCATCCTTCAGTTGGCTGCACATATTTAAAAAAAAAACGAATGGTATGGTCAACCGTAGGAACTTCTGAAACAGGTAACTCCACAACCAATAAACTTCAACCTTAGAAACTTATGAAACAGACAAGTCCACAACCAATAAAAAGCCAAATTACCTGCAAAATGAAGCGTCAAGGGAAGTCAAAAGTGGGCAGTTGATGGATGCCTCGCATAGTACACCACAGCCTTTCAACTCCAAGGACACCATGGAGGGGGCTTCAATTTTAAGGATGCTTAACTTGGGACATATTCCCAAATTCAAAGACCTAAGTGCAACCTGGAGAGGGAGAAGTTTCTTTTTTGGGTGAACAGGGAAGCAAAATAGAAGCCACAAACAAACATAGTCAAAAGGTACACTCATATAATTAGCCATGATGTGCCCCGTGATTCTCACTTACAGGAAAAAATGATGCTCTCTCTAGATGATCACAACCATCTAAACATACTTTCTCAAGATAGGGGCATATCAGATCAAGAGAAGTGATAGCGCGGCAACCAACTAGAGAAAGACTGAGCAAAGATGTGCTACAGAATCTTACTGTCGTCAAGCCCTGCAAACATTGGGGGGAAATGATGGCATGTTAGAGCAGCAAAAGAGTTTATGGAATATCTCAATATTTATTTGACGTAAGTGAAGCAAAAGGACCAAATTTGTTCAACTCTTTGAACTTAATGACATATCATGACCCTGTGCCCCTTGAAATATCATTAGTGCCCAGAGAGACGACACAAAAGCATCATCACAAGGATCAAGGTTGGTTACATGGATCATGTAAAGCTAGTATGCTCAATAATCACTTGCTGAGCACCTCAAATATGATGAAAGTTCTCCTCGATCCTTCCTCTGCCCTTGTCCACCTCTAGGCATACCTTTGACGCAAGAGTGGCGAAGAGGTGTCTAGATTGTCCTAGATGAACATATTTTCCATGCATATACAAACACACTTGTTTTCAAATGAGCATGCCTAACAAGTGAGCAAAAAAAGTTCCTAGAGAGATCTGCATGTATCTATGATAGTTACAGCCAGGAGTTCACAACTCTGTTGCCTGATACTACTGGATTGTCATTGTTGTTAAGAAGCAAACTTCCATGCCTGCCTATTCTACAAGACTCAATTTCTCTCAAAAGGCAATCATGTCGAACTTTAATGAGGCAGCATGTATAAACAGAAGGATCAATGCAATTAAAGAACGTCAACATGTAGAGTAAAAACCAGCTTAGCGTGAGTTGTAAGGCTCAGTACAGATAAAAATGACAGCATTACCACTGATGACAGGCCTCTACAACCGAGCAGAAACCTGTCTCAAAATCTAGCTGCACAAAGGAGGGAACCGAGAAAGAGGACGAAAGAGAACCCCATGTACCTCGCAATTATCCAGAATCAATGACCTCAACATTGGACACCCCCCGCCATCACTAAATACCTCACAGATAGAATTGGTTAATGATTCACAATCCGTGAGGTCAACCTCTTGGAGACATTGGCATTGTAAAGCCAAGGTAGTAAGGTTTTCCTGCCTCAGCAGCGCTAGTTTCTGCATGCCGCAAAGGAAGTATGTTATTAAGTTACCTAAGATAGCATGAAAGATAGTACAACAAATAATTAACTGCTCTGCAATAGCACATACTTTCAGAGAATTGGAAGTTATGCTGATGCGATGGAGTGATGGGCAATTAGACACCATAATAGAAGATAGTGTCGCGCTTCTTAGATTCAGATCAACAAACCTACAGAGGTAGCAAGCCACGACAGCACATAACTATCAGAAGTTCAAACTGAAAGCAAGGACCTAATTGTGAAAATACAAAATGCCAAAATGGTGAAGCAGAATTACTTGCGACAATGTACTAAGCTTATGCTCTTCAAACGAGGAAGATCCAATGATACAGTAGTCAATAAGTTGCAATTGTTAAGCTCCAAGACCTGAATAAGACTATGTCATTAATCCTTTATCAAGAAAATCATTCAAGTTCTCTACTGAAGAGTGAATAGCAAGAAGAAAAAAGAAGACCTCGAGCATATAACTATAAGAAATTGCAGCCATTGAAGCCGAAGTGATACCCTCGCAGCTGTGAAGCCTGAGTTCAGTCAACAGAGGGAGCCTTACAGACTACAGAGAAAACCAAAGAAAGTGTAAGATTATCTATCAACGATACCAGTTGACTGTTTATCACAAAACAGTTAGATCTTAGAGCTGACCTCTAGAGATACGTTCGGACAGTAAGAAGCATCAAGAATATGGAGATTAGCACAAGTTTGGGCTATCTCACGTAATGTCTCATCACTGACACAAGAACAATTCGACATATCTAAGGACTCCAATTGAGGGCATGAAATTGCAGCTGATCGAATTGCCGCATCGGAAAGCTTGTGACAGGATGCAATATCAAGGACACGCAGAAGGGGGCAATTCAGTACAGCTTGCCCCATGTTGCTGCGCTTCAGAGACAAAGTTTGAAGCTCTGGACACCTGCAAGATATGTATATCAGCATCAGATAGGCAAATAAAAGTAATGGTAGGTTTTGTTTAAAACTGTGAACATCTTTCACCTGATGGATATCCTCAGGACACGACACTTGACAAGCTGAAGATTTTGCAATCTGTCATGGTTTATAGGTATCTCCTGCATACCATTTCCCAGGGTAGCATCATTCACATTCAAACTCCTCAACAAGTTGCAATCTGTCAGAGCATGAAAAAATGGATCCCCCAGCTGTCCTCTTCCCAAAGTCAAAGTCTCGAGGTTTCTGAGAGTAAAAACACATAAGACACAGTTCGACCAGCAAATATATATCTAAAATAATCCAGAGGCATACACTATAGTGGTAATTAAATTATATATCTAAAACACTCAAGGCACACACTATAGTGGCAATTATATATCTAACCAAACACAGAGGCACACACTATAGAGGCAGTTAAATATCTGCAACACACACTATACCGGTAATTACATGAATATTATTGAGCTATGCAAAAAAGTGGAAATAGTATAAAATTCAGGTACCTTAATGATGAAACTGCTTTCATGACAAGATAGTGAAGAGAAGGAGCACCATGAAGATTCACCTCCACTGCGTTTGGGTAACGATGGCACATATCCTCAACTATAAAAAATTTGCATCCAGCAATAAGGTTCCACAAAAAAAACACATAATCTAATAAGACATCACTAGCATCATAAAGTACAAAAATAATATAAATGCAGCTTATGGAGCTAACTCAACCAAATTTGATCGCTAACACTAGCAGAGAGAGAAGAAGTACAGGTCAGGCTAACAGCACTCTAAAATCTGTGTGCTTCGCCCCCTTATCTGCTTCAATGCTAATTTCAGTGAAGCCCAAAAATCTTGAGTGCAAATTTCAATAAAATCGAAGAGCCTACTGTCCCAAAACAAACAAAAAAGTGATCTAAGAACCCAAACCAATGTATAAAGTGATAAAAACATCCAACCTCATTAGCAATTTCTGACATTCTCACAGCTTAACAATGAAACTATATATTCCACTACTTGAACAGTCACTAGTTCGTCTAATAAATTTCTTCCAGCAAAATAAAATTGAAAAGAACTGGGTACTGCCCAGTTGAGTTCAGAGATGTAAAACATAAGCTGCATGCTACTGTTGGATAAAGAAGACTTACATTGTTCTACTGTTACATTGCGATTCTCAAAATTCAAATATCTCCAAAAATCTTCATGGGCACTAGCTGTTCTCCACTGCTTACAAACCATTGCAGCTCGACAAAGATCAACATGACCCAAGAAAGACAAGACCTTAGGAAAAGTTGGAAAACGCAAATTAGATCCAGAAACAGGTGGATGAGGCAAAGAACGAGCACAAAATCAGAGCACTTTACCATATGCAAAAGATCATCTGAAAGATCCATTCTAACTTCAAGATCGTCTGACTTAGAAGGGCCACTCCCATCTCCACCATCTCCCCCACTATTGGAACCAAAGGAAGTTTCATCATTGCTGCTATTCCAGATTAAATTATGATAAACTATCGCATCCTCAGATGGAACACCACGATTCTGGGTGAAGTCGAAGTTCATGGGCTCTGAAGAACCAGAATGGCCAGCGTCTGGAGACATCAGTGTGTCATAATGGCAATCACTGAAGCCATTGATTATCATACGGAAAAGGTAACTTGTCAGTAATTCAATACCATTACGATTACTGCCACATCACCACCACTCCTAGGGTGCAATCTTAGCTTAGTTCTTTAATGTGCTGATCAAAACAAGAAACTCAACCAGGAAAGGACTATAAGTATTGCATGGCTGGGGAGACTAAATGATAAAAAGCTTTACATCTTTCTATGGTTGTACAATGAGTGATGCAAGTCCAGCCTATGTGCAATACTATATGCAATAGATGAAGACAAAGATCAAAGCTTTAATTATAGATTGGGATCAGCAAATGTGGCATCTTCAAAATGATGGCCATGAACTAGATTGCTAGAGGATAAAGGCAAACTCAGGGAGAAAAAGGACGGGAGAAGAACTAATGGATACAAAGGTAAAGAACTCACTGAGAAACAGAGTAAACTTTGGCACGCTTGCTATACCAGTCCCGGTTACAATCCTCCATAGCATTTTCAGAAACGTCAGTGGCGACAGTTGTGACTGAACCACTACTCTCACCCCGAAGCCTCTGCGCAAACCGAAGACTGCTCCTCCTCAACGCAACGGGGACAACAACACCATCGTCAGAAACCGGCGCGTTCACCGCCTCGCCCGCCGCCTCGCCGTCCTCCACCGCTCTAATCATCTCTTCAAACAACCTCGTGTCGTCCCGATCATGAATGTCCAGCTCCCCATAGTCGAATGTTGGAGCAGCTTCCACAGGATCCTCGCCGTTAGCCCCAATGCCAACACCTCCAGAGTGGGCGTCATTCTCGAGAGTTTCGTCTCTCATGGCTTCACAATATCCTTTACTATCAGGTCCTTCTTCGTCGTCGAAAGTGAAGCACAAGCAGCACCAAATCCTCATACAATTGAAGGGGTAAACCGTAAAAGGCGGTGACTTTACAAACCCTAGGTCACGATCTTGCTCATTTCCACCTAGCCCGTAAAAAGGGATTGCAACAAAAAGGCAAAACCTTTCAGTCGAATCCAGGAATCGGCGTCGGCAGTCGAGGAGACCCAGATGGCGATATATAAGAACCAAGAAATGGAAATTCGTTTTTCTGGGTGCTTACCTGTGTATGAAAGAGGAGAAGGGGCGAAGGCAGCTAAGGGATAAATGGCGTAGGTAGAAGCAGAGAAACCGGGGGATTGAATTAGAGAAAGAAAGGGACGAGGGAGGAACAGAACGGCACGGATCTGATCGGATCTTAGAGGTCTGCTTCAGAAATGGTGGTGGGATGGCTAGTCCTGCTGCTGCATATTGAAGCTTCAAAAAGGAGATCGGCGTAACATAATCGTCATCTCACAAATTCGCACTTTTTTCTCCTAGACCCAGCTGAATTGAAATGTTTTTTGGTTTTCATTTCGGTTTTTCTCTTTCCCTCGTTTAAGGTTTCATCTCTTTCTCCCCCAATTGTGCATTTCTACTATGAGGAGAGAAATATTTGCCACCCTTATGTCGTCGTTTGGGTTAAAGACACATTTGGTCACTGAGATTACAAAATCGGGACATGTTTAGTCACTAGAAAAAGTTAATATCAAATTTGGTCACTACAATTACTAAAACTGGACGCATTTAGTCACTCGCCGTTAGTCTCCGTCCAACTCCGTTAATGAAGTCTGTTAAGTGCTGATGTGGCAAACAGAATTGCCTAATCAGCCAGATATAACCCAACAAAAATAAAACCCGACCCGCCACGTCATTATAACCCGCCACCTCATTAAAACCAACCCAACCCATGACCCAACCCTACCCAACCCTTCTTCCTCCTTCCTCCCCAACCCAATTTAGGGTTTTCCCCATCCCACCCACTCCTCCCGCCTCCCACCTCCTCCCGCCGAAGCACTCGACCTTTACGCTCCAACCTTCACCGGCGGCGACCCGAACAATACGGCGAAATCAGTCAAAGTCAAATCTCCATCGCCTTCCCCTAATTCATTAAATACCACCAATGCTCCCTTTCGAACACTGCACCACAATCCCAATCCCGCCTAACTCAATCAGTCTCGTCATCTCCAATCCCTCACACAGCCCCAATCCATGGCCGCCAAAGCGTCCCTCCTCTTACTACTCCTCTCCCTCTCCCTCGCCATTTCGCTCGCCAAACCCGACAGCCGCCGATTCTCCCGAACTCTGCGCCCGCAGAAACTGGGGAAGGAGAAATTGAGCCACTTCCGGATCTACTTCCACGACATCGTCAGCGGCCGCAACCCCACCGCCGTCCGCGTGGCACAGGCCGCCACCACCAACATCTCCCGCACGGCGTTCGGGATGGTGACGATGATGGACAACCCGCTGACCGTGGGCCCCCGATTGAGCTCCAAGCTCGTGGGCCGGGCCCAGGGGATCTACGCCTCGGCCTCCCAGACCGAGCTCAGCTTCCTGATGGTGCTCAACTTCGCATCGGAAACCCAGCCTTCACCGGTTGGGGAGGAAGGAGGAAGAAGGGTTGGGTAGGGTTGGGTTGGTTTTAATGAGGTGGTGGGTTATAATGACGTGGCGGGTCGGGTTTCATTTTTGTTGGGTTATATCCGGCTGATTAGGCAATTCTGTTTGCCACATCAGCACTTAACGGACTTCATTAACGGAGTTGGACGGAGACTAACGGCGAGTGACTAAATGCGTCCAGTTTTAGTAATTGTAGTGACCAAATTTGATATTAACTTTTTCTAGTGACTAAACATGTCCCGATTTTGTAATCTCAGTGACCAAATGTGTCTTTAACCCGTCGTCGTTTTCGTACAAAGCTTAGAGGGTCGTTTGGATAGGTTATTTGCTTGAGTTATTTGGGTCCAAATAACTCATATTGGGTTATTTAATTCAAAATAACTTGTTTGGATGTGTAAAAGTGTAATTGGTTATTTGGCCTTGAGTTATTTACGAATAACTCAAAAACGAGTTATTGTAAATAACACCTATCCCGTAGTTATTTGACAATAACGCATTCTGCATCATTTCCCTTCCAACTTTGCCCCTTTCTCTTTCTTCCTTTTCAGTTCTTCCCCTCTCTCTCAAACGACTTCCATCTTCTCTATGCTTCTCCTCTCTTCTATGTTATATAATCTCTTGCAGTCGATTAACCTCCCCTTCTCCAATAGATAATCTAACTATCTTCTCCACTTTTTTGTTGATTCAACGACACCCATAATCCCCTCTCTTGTTGACGATTCAACAGAACCCCAAACCCTCACTGTTGACTACTGTATGTACGATGGAGAGCAAGGACGAGGTAGACGGAGGTTTCGAGCGACAGCCATGGTTGGAATCATTGGCGACGACGGAGGTTTCGAGCGACAGTTCGTAGGCGGCGAGAATCAAGCATCTTTGGAGCTGGATGCTAGCACTATTGTCCAAGCTAGGTTTTGATTTGGGACTGCATACAGAGCTTGGGCCAGATTGACGAATTGAGATGAGAAGAGAAGGCGCCCTTTTTGTTTGGCGGCTGGGGCAGATTGACGAATTTGGATTTGGCCTCCGTCCATAGTAAGCATCCCTAATTGATTTTTTCTGTATTTATTTGTCAATTAAGTGGCTTTGGACACGTCTTTAACAAGAATAGAGAGGCTAAATTCTCGGTGGTGGGAATCTATGGATTCGTGGGTTCTGATTTTCCTTATTCTAGGCTCAATTGAATAAGAACAGAGAAGTGGAGGATGAGGAGAATTCGATGCATGGGAGGATGGGCGGTGGTTTCTGGTGTTTTCGTTGTTCTAATGGTTTGCTATGAATGAACGAATAAATGGGGGCAATGTACATTTCTGGGAATGAATGAAAGCTATGGGAGAGTAGATGGTGCCCTCAATTGAGGGCAATATTGTTATTTAGCATCTTTTATCATCAAATACCACATGCAAATATTGGTTTAGCCAAACAAGATTATTTATCCCCAACTTTCATAAAAATACCACACAAATACCACATCAACAACAAATGCGTTATTTCACCTTACAAATACCACAAAACCAAACAATTCATCCAAACGACCCCAGAGAAAATTAATGAATGAATGAATAAAGGACTAAGGAGTATCTATCATTGTACCATTTGAACTATTAAAAAGTATCACTTCGACGATGTTTTATTGTTAGAATTCTTAACATTGAGTATTTAATTAATTTATGTATTCTATTTAGATGCATTTTTTCAATGTATAATTTTGAAAAATACATTACTTGGAGATTGAATGATTCGGGTGTTTCTTGAAAAAATTATTAGAAAAAATGAGATATTGATGGTCCCTCAAATACAAGTATTGTGTTTCATTTTAAGATAAAAAAATGATGAATTCTCCTAATTTTTTTTTTTACAACGAATTCTCCTAATTACATGTATTGTTTAAATACATCATCTGAAATCCCAGCTTCCAAACGACCCCTTCTATCATAAAGTATTCAATATGACAATCTTAGCATACAGTTTTGTCTTTTTAACTTTATTAACATTGACTGTTGATGTGTCAATTGATGTGATTTTTTTATGAATTACTTAGGCCCTGTTCACTTTCATTTTCGTTTCCTGTTTTCTGTTTTCATGTGATAAATTTGGCAACTGAAATGAGAAAACTTGTTTACTTTTCATTCTGTTTTCTATTCGTTTCCAACTATGAAAACAGAAAGTGGAAACTTCCTGCTGTTTTCGAAAACGACAAAATGTTGTTTTCACCTGTTTTCAACATCTGTTTTCTCAAAAACAGGAAACAGAAATGAAAGTAAACAGGCCCTTAGTTTCATTTCATCAAAATTGTAGTACTATTAGCAACAAACCTGTCAATTAATTATCTCAACAAAGACCTATCCATACTGACATTTGTAAAGAAAGAAAGAAGACATGAACCGAGAGCAAGTTGAACTTCGTTACGTCAAAACCTCCACATAAGATCTTCGCCTCATGTCTATTGCAAGCAATCATGTCAACACCCTTTTCCGAGTGTCCTCAAAGTGAATTGAGCATCGCTCCCTACAAATGCCACTTATCAAGGAACCCATATCATTCTTCCATTTTTTGCATCCTGATAGCTCCCTGAAAAAAGTCTCAATCATCTTTAGTTTAGAGTCATAGTCATCATCTAGGATCCGATGAGTGAACCTGAAAAAGAGTCGTTCAAGTAGGAACTTATACAATGGACATTCTACAAACAAGTGTGACAGACTTTCAAGAGCATGACCACATTGTACACAATCAACTAGACTTGCGTATCCTCATTGTTGCATTTCATTTCCAATGTTAATATAATTACACAATATTAGCCAGACCAAAATTTGGTTTCAATGAATGAAAGGAGGCTTCCTTACCACTTTGTACCAATTAATTTTAGTTGAACAAGGTAAAAAACTAATTCAAATTGTCATCACGGAAAATTTGGACATAACAGTCTCATTCCTTCTTACTTTGTGAGCAACACTAGTCATATAAGGAAGAACAGAAGTCCAGACTTTTAGTAATTTCTACCATAGCTAGGAACCAGCCTTACACGTCACTTCCTAGAAGTCTTTCTGCTTCAACATGTTCTCACATAGCCAGGCTACTTGTAGTGAACATTATTCCTAAGTATAACTCATATATGCCATTACAATAAAAAAAGCCCCATATATGCATGAATATACAAGCCAAATTCTAGCTACATGTCACGTCCAAATGACATCAAATTCACTCAAGATGATCTGAAACATGCTAAACACAACAAACTAAGTATAAAACTGGTAAAAATATATAAATCTTGCCGAAATGATAACCCAAACAAAGTCAAATAGGGAGTTAAAATATGTACAAATTATGGTGTATCAAATACATCATATGTCCACACTTAAGCATTTGCTTGCCATCAAGCAAAGTATCAAAGCACGAGTTTTTTCATGGAAAACTCAAAAATATGAGAGATCTAAACGAGGAAGAAGGAGACGAGTTTTACGTGGTTTCCCCGATTGACGAGACTAGTCCACGGGAGAGTACTACTCTCTGTCTGAAATCTTTTTATGATATTTGATTGTGGTCATCAGCCACACATATGCTTTTACACCCTTTGGTACATTCGTATAGGGCAATACAATCAGGACAAGTAAAGATATGGCAGACATGAGCCGCAAGCCGCACTGGGTTTTGTAGAAGGGACGAATAACTTGGGTTACGAGACTATTGGGCCTTACCCATTCCTCCCCTCCAAGCTGCAATGTGGAGGCCACGAATGTGCAGTTTGAAGAGAAGGAAATGGAATCACTATACACCTAGTCCCTTGGTAAACATATCAACAAGTTGAAGATGGAAGCTGATCTTCAAGGGAGCGATATCACCAGACTAAACACACTGCGTGCAATAAAGAAAGCAAGTAATAAAATCCTAGATAAACTCGGATCGAATTCCACAAGATCTTATAATTCACAACTACTCGCATCCAACTACTCATGCTCGACACAAAGCAATAGAAAGTAGATTTGTTTAGACAATTTCAAGTAATGAAAGCAAAGGAAAGTAAATCAAAGCATAAAAGTAAACATACATATGAAGTTTACTTTACATAAACATGCATCTCAATTCTCATTCATATCATACATCAATGCATCATGTATTGTTTGTATCACTATATCCCTTCTACTAAAGCATTCCAAACTGAGTTTTCACCACAGGCGAGAGAAACAATAATTAGCTAATGCATGCTTTCGCTTCATGTCATCAACTAACTAATGAAGAATAAAGAAGTAAGGATATCACTTAATTAAGTGTGGGCCTCTTGAGTCATAACATAATGTCTATAGCATCGGTGATCTAACAATCAAGCATTTATCCTATACATGCATGGATGGGTGATCAATCCTCCCATTCACACATGGAAATAAGATATCACAAGATAATATTTCCTAACATCCTAGATGTAGTATCATAAACATCAATGATAGAGAGCACTAAATTACATAAGAATAGAATACATACATAAGCATGACATCGAAAATCTCAAGCATCCAATGACAAGCATCATACTAAATCATGGAATGAAATATTCATATTCAACGAGTTCACATTCCTACACAATCGATTCAAACTAGCTATACACAAAAGAGAAGGAGGTTACCATCATCGATGATGACGACATCTCCTTGATTGTGCCCCCTCCTATGGATGCTTAGCTCTCACTCGAACACAGTGTTTACACAAGAATAGTGTGAATTTTTGCAATGTACAAAAAAATGAAGCCTATCACTCTATTTATAGGGAAGTAATCATAAGGTTTTTCCTATTCCAAGTCAGTTAAGGTGTCCTTACTCCACTAAAACACGAATTCTCTTACTTGGGGACGAATTAAGGGCTTCTGGAAGCTTTTTGGGGCTTGGACACCGAGCGGTGACCCACGGCGGCACCCTCCACCATCATTTTTTTTCTTAGAATAGGTTGCTTGTCAGATAAGCAATGCCTCCTTGAAATTTGAGTGTGACTTGATCAACTTTGGGCTTGCGGCGGATAGACCT